GGGAACATTGGCTTTGAGTCTGATTTTTCAGCTTAATTGGTACATAGGTAGCCCTTGACTTGCGCCCGTTTAACCACTGCTCAAAGTTACAACGGTGGTGAAAAAGGTTATGATCGGTCAATTCCAGCATCCCTGTGGTCCCGTGATCAAAATTCAAGGAGTTGATAACCAGGATGTATTTACATGATTTTAGCATCCTCCTGGGCAGAGGTCTCCAACCTTGGCAACCTTAAGCCTGACGGACTTCAACTCCCAGAATTCCCCAGCCAGCTTTGTTGGCTGGGGAATTCTGGGAGTTGAAGTCCACCAGGCTTAACGTTGCCAAGGTTGGAGACCCCTGCTCCTGGGGTCATGTGATCAACCACTTTTTTTCTCCAGGGGGCTTCCAACTCTCAAAGTCAATGGGGTGCGGAGCAACATTTGCTCAATGATCATGGCAAAAAAGATTATGAAACTGAGTTAGAATAGAAGTGTGATTGGACACACAAGGAATTTGTCTTGGCGTAAATGCTCTCAGTGTACATAAAAGAAAAGATACATTCATCAGGAGTCGAGAATCATAAGGTACGACACTTAATGATAGTAATAGGGTACAATAAGCAATCAAATCATACTAGGAAAGAGTCAATTAAAAAACCCTAAGAATACAAGCGACAAGGTTACAGTCATACAATCACAAGTGGGAGGGGATGGGTGATAAGGAGTGATGAGAAGATTCACAGTAATAGTAGTGCAGGCTTAGTAAATAGGTGGACAGTGTTGAGGGAATTATTTGTTTAGCAGAATGATGGCTTTCGGGAAAAAACTGTCCTTGTGTCTAGTTATTCTGGTGTGCAGTGCTCTATAGCATCATTTTGAGGGAAGGAGTTGAAACAGTTTGTGTCCAGGATGTGAGGGGTCTGTAAATATTTTCATAGCCCTCTCTTTGACTTGTGCAGTATGCAGGTCCTCGACTGAAGGCAGGTTGGTAGCAATTGTTTTTTCTGCAGTCCTAATTATTCTCTGAAGTCTGTGTCTGAGTTGTTATTCATTTGATAACTGCTATTGCTTAGCAATGGACATCCTGGTACCAATTGTGGTTATAAGTTGAGAACTACCTGCACACCAATTGCACCGCTTTAGATTTTAAGGGTGGGGAGTCCACGACTTAAAATAGTCCATTTAGTGACCAAAGTTACCCCTGGATTGAAAAAAGTGACTTATGACCATTTTTCACACTTATGCCCATCACAGCATTCTCATGACCACGTGATCAAAATTCAGATGCTTGGCAACTGTCTCGTATTTATGATGGTTGCAGTGTCCTAGAGTCAATGTGATCACCTTCTGTGACCTTCTGACATGCAAGTCAATGTATTGTGGTCCACCGGTAGCCTGCAGAGACGGCAGCAGAGTTGGACAGTGGGGAGGAACATGGGCCAGTCTGGGAGTCTGGGGAGGACTTGGACGAAGGTCCTGCATCTGATACAGAGATGGCGCCAGGGCCATCCGGGAGTTATGTGCTGACTCGGAGCCTCCAGAATCTGACAGCAACAAGGTAGAGAAGCAAGGGGAGCCTGTTCCCAGTGTGCATGTGCGCAGAGCTGCCAGAAGGCAAGAACAGTTAAGACAAAAGGGGCAACTCGGGAGTAAGGCTTGGAGGTGATTGGCCCTCCCATAAGACATAAAGGAGGAGCAAAGGGACAGGAACCTTTGCAGGAAGCAACTTTGTTCGTACAGGTCGGTTTGAAACCTGAAGCTCTGTGTTGAATTTGTGCTCCATTTGGCCTTGTATAACTAATTGGACATTTAGTTGTTGGCAGCATTTCAAGGAAGATAAAGGTGCGTGCTTATCAGACTTATCCTGAAGGACTTTGGCAGACTTCCATGGGACTCTTTACAAACTGTTTCAGACTCATTACGGGCTGTGAATGAATAAAATTCACAGCCGATTCACCTAACCGCTCTGGCAAGAAAAATCGTAAAATGGGGCAAAACTTACTTAACAAATGTTTCAACAACATAAATGTTGGGCTCAATTGTGGTCGTAAGTTGAGGACCACCTGTATGAGTCTTTCTTGCATGTATCTGGCAGTACAATCTGATCTCTGTTGGCATGCAAAGTTGGTGAGAGTTTTATTTCCAGTTCAGAGATCCCTGCCTTTTGGATACAGAGGAAACAGATGCTTGAAAAATTCTCCAAATAATTCCAGGGAATTTACTCACGCCCGAAAATGTTACTTATTTTGCAGAAAACAAACATTAATTCCAATCTTGACAGACAACTGTTAGTAACAAGGACTGAAAAAACTATTTGTACTGGCTTATTATTAAATCAGACAGTCTCACCTGTAATTAGAGATTCTCAGGAGTAGTGGGCATTTTCCTAAAGTTCCAGTCCTCATTGTTCTGAATAAAAGGCTGATTTAAGTAGATAGTTGCTCAGTGTTGAACCCCGTCATTGATTTGTTTAGGTTTGGCTACAATGGACTAACTTCCATTTGGTGGAGTCTCCCTTAGATTGAAGATAGTATATCCTATTTGGAAAATGTATAGGTTTAAGGCAGTTTTGAGCATGCACCACCATCATACTGTGAAAAGTTATAATCCAATTAATCTCTTCTAAAAGATTTGTTGAGAACCAGCAACCAGTGGCTTCTGTTCCCGTTTTTCAAGCCAATCATTTACCAGTCCAAAGTTCAGTGGCGCAATATTTCATGTTCCATTCTGTGCTGAAAGGCCAGATTCAGTCACTGGCTTTGCAGATAAGCTGAAAACCACCACTCTATCATGACCCCAGACTAACCCATTTTCTGGATCTGCCCAATACATACAACAACAAATCCACAGGCTTGAATTCAGGCAAGTTGGACCACCCAAAAATAGCCCAAGGAAGGTTGTTGGAAATAACTCAAAGCCAACAAAAAAAAAAACTTGGTTCATTGAAAACAAAGAGGATTTATTAAAAAGAAATATCAGACGGTTTGCAAAGTGCCAGTAGTCTTTAGAACCTCAACAAGCAGGTTCAAATCAAAAGCTACACCTTTAGAACCTCAAAACATACTTGATATAGTTTCATCTCATCACCCAAGTTCCCTCCTCCCTCATTCTCTCCCAAGTTCAAACTCCTTGGATTGCTCTCAGATGTTGCAACTAATTCTAGGATGTCTCTAGGGAGAATCCTTCCATTATGTTCTCATCTGTACCCCTCCGTACCTCTTGCTTTGGCTACCTATATGGCATTTTTCCTTAGCATTAAGGAATGTAGCATCCCCTCATAAGGGCCTCTTTCTAATTTATGAAGATACAATTTTTAAAAGCTCATCATATACTACCATTTTTCCAAAGAGATTATAACAACCCCCCCAACATAATAATATAAAAAGGCATATTATACATAAGATAAAAATATAAAAAGGCTTAACAATGGAGCATGTCAAAAGTATAAATGCAAAGCATACACACACACACACACACACACACACACACACACACACACGGAGATATATTTCATTTGACAACAGATTAACAGAGTTGGAAAAGACCCTGCAGGTCATCTAGTCCAACCCCAATTTGTGAAACCTTTAAGTGTCTTATATACTATTTTATTTTTGAATTTCCTTATTTCTTACAAGATTAACACCCACCAAGTTGGGAAAGCAACAGATCTGGCTGAGTCTCAGACAAGAGTAGACTAGTTACAGCTCCACAATATTTATATCCATAATTTGCTCAACCCAGTTTTCTGAGTTTGTATGACACATAGAACCATGAACAATGGATGACACATGGGACCATTGAAAGAAATATCCATCTGGGTTCAGTTCCAAGTGGGGAAAAAGACACTGGAAACATGGAGGCTGTTTGGAAAGATGGTTTAATGGTGGACAGCAGGACCACATGGCTTGGAGCTCCAAAGTGAAAAGGAAGGATGATCACATGCTTCAAGGTGAGAAGGGAAGGTCAAGAAGGAAGAGACCAAGAAAAATGGGCTGAGGGCTGCGAGTGCCTAGGTTTTATAACCTTCATTGGGATTTGAATTGAAGCTTGTTTCTAAATGGTTGTCAGACTCCCATGAGGCCATGCAGGGGCAACTCTGTAGGCTTGTCCTGTGTTCCAGGCTTGGTTGAGCCTTGCTGGATGATGATGATGCACTGAAAGGGCTTTTGAGCAATTGAGCTTTACCTGGAGATCTTTGTTATGTAAAGTATTCCGGCCCAGGCCTTAATGGCCCACCCATTAACAAAGGTGGGAGTGAGCTGCTACTTCTGAGGTGAGTTCCTGCTTCTGAGTTTCTACTCTTTTTAGGGGAAATATTCTGCCTTTTTAATATTTCCTAGGATATTTCAATATTCTAGGAGAGGTGTGGGTGCTAACTTCCTAAAGGACCATAATCCAAGTTGGGACGAAACATGGAGCAATAAACCACACAGGTTGGGTTCAGACATACTCAACTATGGTACAGTGCCCTATCAGTGAACAAACCCTACATACCCACCCAGGATCCGGTAGCCAGCCCATAAAGCCAAGTCGGCAGGACTCGGATTGACCCCCGCTCTGACATTTAACGCAGAGCAGAAGTAGCAGTTTCGGTTTACGATCCTGCAAAAGGCCGTCCTACGGACGCGGCTTCTAAAGGCCGGGCTGGGGAGCGGTCATCCAAAACCGAAGAGGAAGCGCTTCCTTTTTCCAAACTCGCCCGAAATGCCTTTAAAATACCCTTGTAAAGGAGCCCCGCTTCCCCGCCCCTCATTCCTCCTCCAGAAGAGCAGCCAGCGTGCGACCCACTGATGATGGGTGGGAGCCGGGCGTTGGGTGGAGGGGGTGGGGTGGGGTCCCCTGCCTGACAAGCGACCGGGGGCGGCGGCGGCGGCGGCGGCCTGGAAGAAGGAGATGCTGCCGAGGCATCCAACCGCACGCGCGCGCGCCCTCGGCCCTCGGCCCCCGCCTCACGGCTCGGCTTAGAGCGAAAGGGGAGGGCAGAGCGAAGGAAGGTGGGGAAAGCGAGGGTTTCTGTGCCTGCGCGCGTGTGCCTGTGCAATCGCTTATTACAGTAGACCAGCTGAAGGGTCAGCCAGGGAATATATTTATACACTCCGGCGCGCGCATGCCCGCCCAAGAAGCGCTCTCCTCAGCCGGGCCAGCCTCACTTTCTTCGCTTGGCCGGCCTCGGCTGAAGACGCAGCAGGGTCGCCCAGCTCCGGAGCTTGAGAAGCGGACGAGCCGTTCCAAGCGCCGGGGAAAAGAAGCAGCGCAGTCGCGGAGCCGTTCCGGTCGGGAAGGCGAGCCTGCCAGCCGGCGTGAGGCTGCTGAGGAAAACGGTACCCGGCGGCACGTGTAACGGGCGTTTTTAGGCCAACCTGGACCCCGGGGGTGGGGTGGGGGGGTTTCGCAGATGGCTTTTCCGGAGGGGCTCGGCCATCCCCACATCCCGCGCTTCGGAAGGCGCCGGGAAAGCCAAGGCCGCGGGACCAGGCGGAGGGGTGGGGAACACGCGCGTCCGGCCGCCCACGGGATGGTGGGTGGACAGTCGCCTCTGGAGGCGTTTGAGAATGGACGGGATGCGCGGGAGTCGCTCCGGGGGTGTCCGGAGCTCCCGGCAGCGGAGGGGAAGAGATGCGGAAGGCACTTCCTTATTCCCAGTCCGGCTGGCAGGCGCTCCCGAGGAGGGCATACTGCGCAAGGCGGGTGGAGGCGGGCTGGACGGGCAGGGCCGAGTGGGACCTTCGCCGGGGCTGCGCTTCTGTCCCTCTTCCGGATTCTCCCTGCAAAACGCTTCAATCTCCTTCAAATCCCTTTTCGCGCAGTCCGCAACCAGTGCAGAACTGGACTCGCGAGGGTGGGCGGCTGGGGCTGGGATAACGGATAATCAGAGTTGGAAGGGACCTTGTAGGTCATCTAGTCTAACCCCACACCCCCGCCCAAGCGGGAGGCCCTACACCATTTCTGACAAATGGCAGTCCAATCTCTAGGGGAGGGGTGTGTCAGGCGCTGCTGCTTCCTTCGCAAATGCCTATACCCGCCCCGTTTGCAATCCGGGGGCAAGGAACGTTACTTCTCTTCGACCCCACTGCCCCCTCTTTCCTAATCCGAAGGAGGCTCCTAAATCCCTTTCGCGGGCTCTCTGGGCGAGAGGGGCGCGCGGGGTCCCCCCCCCCCCCCCCCCACCTCTACCCAGAAAGGCTGCGGTTGAATTCGCCGCGCGACCGCCAGGACACCTGTGGCCGCTTTCCTTCCCCCTTTTGCAGGGTGGGGTCGTGGCCCGCTCCGCCCACCCACCCCCGACCCCCTCGCCTTGGGGCTTCCTCTTGCCCTTTGCTTCCCCTTCGCCTGCCTTTTGCGCCCGCTCCTTTCCGCCGCCGGATCGCCAAGACTCGATCAACCGAATTCGCTCGGCCGGAGGCGCCTCCCGTTTCGTCCCCATTGATAGGCTCCTGGCCCAAGCCCCGCCCCCCTCGTCGCGCACGCTGTGTTGTAGGTCGGACGAGTAACCTCTGAGAAAGTTCGCCGGCGGCGGCGACCGCAAACGGCTCTTGAGTTTGCGCCTTTTGTTTTGGTTTTGAATGTATCCTGCTGAAATGACTACCTGCAGCCTTAGGACAAGGTGGACTTCCCTCCCTCTAACCCCCCCCCCCCCCCCCGCCGGAGTTCACACGATGGAATAAGCCCCAGGCTACCAACTACAGCATCTCCATCCCCCCCCACACCCCATACGGCCCTTTTGGGCTACCCAAGCTTAACATACTGAATTAGTTGAGGGATCCAGTGAACACAACTTTACAAACTATACTTTGAACTTCACCTGGCTATAACATCCTTTTGACTTAATGCAACACTCGTTAAAAAAACTCCTACAGGTTATTCAGTAACCCTGATCAACCCTTATGGCTTAGACTGAGCCGTGCCTGAATTTAGCCATTTCCCCCCTCCTGTGTGACACTATCTGGTTTTGCAACATGTAAGCTTGTAGCTCAGTTATGTCTGTTCACTGCAACTAGAAATATTTCTGTTTTTATGTTTAAAGTCTTCTAAGAGAAAGGTTTACCGGTATTTTTTACTCTGACTCTTGTTAGTATTAGCAGTAAAGATGTTTTTTTTTTAAATGTTAGCATTATTTGTACTGCAGTATATTATTAAATGTCTCCGTTCCAGAATTGGAAATTCCTCCCTACCCCCCAAGAAACGGAACAGTTTTCTCTTAATTTCCAACACTCGGAGATCCGGCAATTGATCTCAGCTCCTGACGGAAATCCTGTTTTTCAAAGCTGAAGATTGCATTGTGTGGGGATGAGAGGACCAGGAGGGTGGAGGAAGACTGTTACTATGACTATTCTTAAATGAGGTGTTTCCTCTCCAGCATTAAGCAGAAGTTAATTCTCCTTCCTGAGAGAGAACATTTCTGCGGCCCATAGGGAGTGTTCCCCCACCGCTTTTTTTTTGTTTGTAAAAATGTTGGTTTTAGACTAGCAGCTTTTGAAAAAGGACTGCAGATAAAAAGTGTTGGGGGTAGATATTGTGAATACCGAAGGATTTGGATTAGGTTCCCAGCATTTTTGAGTAGAGCTGCTCATTAAGTGTAAGAAATGAGCAGGTTGAGCTGGAGCACGGGGTTAAATGTGTCATAAGTTTGGAAACATTGCGTTCCCACAAGAGATCCAAGTCTAGCTCCTCCCTGTGAATTCTGTTGACCCTTACCTAACCACCAATTAGGCTTGACTGTTATCACTGGTAGTCCTCAACTTACGATCACAATTGAGCCCAAAATTTCTGTTGCTAAATGAGACAGTTGCTAAGTGAACTTTGCCCCATTTTACGACCTTTCCTGCCACAGGTGTTACGTAAATCACTGCAGTTAAGTTAGTAAAATGGTAGTGCAGTGAATCTGGCTTCTCCATTGACTTTGCTTGTCAGAAGGCCATAAAAGGGAATTACATGATCCCAAGACACTGCAACCGTCATAAATGTGAGTCAAATGCAAAGCGTCTGAATTTTGATCGTGTTTTCACGGGGATGCTGCAGGGGTCATTTGAAAAACGGTCCCTTTTTGCAGTGCCATTGTAACTTTGAACGGCCTGTAAATGAACGATTGTAAGCCAAGGGCTACATGTAGATCAGATTCTCGTGTCTAGGTAGCATGGAATAAACTTCCAGTGCTTTGAACTCTGCTTCTGTTCCCGGTTACTTGCACCTGATGGCAAGACCTTCTTGTAAAGGCAGTGAGAATGTCCTGGAAGGAACTTGCTCCCAAGCCAGCGGTGAGATAACAGTGGCTTAAACCTGAGCCAAGAAAGTAATTTGGGAAAACGACTGGGACGCGTCCATCCCTAATTTACATGAAGACAAGACGAGGGAGGGGGAAACACATTCATACAGGTAGGCCTCGGCTTACAACAGTTCATTTAGTGACCGTTCAAAGTTACTACACTGAAAAAAAATTGACTTAGGACCATTTCTCACACCATCTTTTAGCATCCCCACGATCACGTGATCAAAGCGCAGATGCTTGGCAACTGGTTCATACTGATGACCATTGCTGGTCACGTGAACACTTTTTGCAGCTTTCCGGCAAGTGAAGTCAATGAGGAAGCCAACCGTGTTACTAACCACTGCGGCGATTCACTTAACAACTGGGACAAGGAAGTTCATAAAATGGGGCAAAACTTACTTAACAAATGTCTCCCTTAAGAACAGAAATTTTGGGCTCAATAGTGGTTGTAAGAAGAGGGCTATCTGTGTACTTCAGAGTTGGTATTGAGCAGGTTCTGACCAGTTCTGGAGAACCGATAGCAGAAATTTTGAGTAGTTCGGAGAACCGGGAAATCCCACCTCTGACTGGCCCCGCCCCCATCTATTCTCCGCCTCCTGAGTCCCAGCTATTCGGCTGGGTCTTCTTTTATTGGCCTGCACAGGAGAACGGAGCTGGAAAGCAGGTTAGTGGGGTGGGGACGGAATGGGGATTTTACAGTATCCTTTCCCTGCCTTGCCCGCCAAGCCACGCTCACAGAACTGGTAGTAAAATTTTTTGAATCCTACTACTGCTGTACTTGCAAGATTGTTGCTTATAGCTGTTACATTACAAGTAATCATGACCTATATGGAATTGCTTTCTTAGTCTGGTCTATCTTATAGGGCTGAGATCTCTCTGAAAAATCCTTACAAGTTACTTCTGGTCACAGCAGATAAAAATTATCTGACTTCTTCCTTGTTTTTTTAAAATTTATTTTTTAATTTTAATTATGAGAATACAACACAATACATCCAACTTAGCCATGTTATACAGATATACATTTTATACCATCATTTATAATTTCCTTATTTAATATATTAATTACTAATTAATCTAATCATAACTACTAACATTTCGACCTTGTCTTCTGCTATATAACCATCGATAAAATTTATTCCATGTTTTATAATATTTAGGCTCTCCTTTGTCTTTTATTTCTAAAGTTAAACTATCTGATTCTACGCATGCCATAATTTTTCTTATTATTTCTGTTTCTGGAGGTATGATTTCATTTTTCCAGTATTGTGCATATATTATTCTAGCCACACTGTCAATACATGTACTGTTAGATACATTATTTCCTTCTTAAATTTTTCTGATATTATTCCTAGGAAAAAAAAATTCCGGTTTAAATGGAATATATTCTCCCACCATTTGTCCCAACCATGTTTGAATCAGTCTCCAATATTTTTTTGCAGCATTGCAAGTCCGCCACATGTGATTAAATGTGCCTGATACATGTTTACACTTCCAAAAATTTGGAAACAGATTTCCAACAACTTCTTCCTAGTTTTAACCCATTTCCTTATTCAGGCTCATTATTGCTAGGGCAGAGACAAATGAATCAGATTTGAGTTTGGGGACATGTGCTTTATGAGCAGAAAGTCCCAATTATAAACTTTTTTTAGTCACTCTAGTTTTCCCCAACTAAGTGCTTTCCAGATGGGCTGGGAGGATACCTTCTAGAAGTCTAATTAGCAAGTTTTCCCATCTGGCACTGCATTTTGAGGAAGAAATTCACATTATTTGTCAATCAGCCCATGCATTTTCCTCTACATAAATTGATATTGCTAAGATTTGTACCCATAAGATCTTGGCAGGTCATCCTGAGTTGTCTAGTACCAGCTGTTGTGCCAATGTGGGATGAAATGATAGTTAAGTAGAACTGCACATTAATCATGCAACTTTGGTTGATTAGCTAAAGATCTGAGAATTCAATGTTTTGTTGGCTAAGATATATTTGGTTCTCGTGCATTATCATAGAAACAAAAGGAAATACAGTATTAAAGAGGAATTCGTGAGAATGTGATTGTCCCTTTTAATAAAGTTTTATGTTGCTTTATAGTGGAACTTTCTCTACATTATAGTTCTGTAAAAAAAGGCAATTATGACATAAAATTACAGTGAATTATCATTTAGAGATTTGAAAGGCCAGGTTGAGGAGGATGATTCTGGAGAAAATCTATGTGGTTATTAAGAGTTTACACCAATTGATGGTCCCTAATTAATCAATTAGGCAATCAGTTATTTGTTTAAAGCAGGGGTCCCCAAACTTGGCATCTTTAAGACTTGTGGACTTCAACTCCCAGAATTCTCTGGTTTAAAGAAACTACTATGTCATTGGGGCGGGTTCATAAACTGGCAAACACTTTCGCTTTGACCAAACTTCATTCCTCCATGCTGACTGAGGAATTCTGGGAATTGAAGTCCACACATATTAAAGTTGGCCAAGTTTGAAAACCCTGATTTTAACTCTTGAAATTTTGCATGGTTTAGCAAGTAATTTATATCTTCACAATACTGGGAACTGACTTTCCTGTCAGAACTACAATTTAACCACAATAATTTGTATATTAGTGATGCATGCATTAGAGAGCTGATTTGAAAAGAACTTAGCTTCATAGCTAGATTTGTATAACATGTTCCATTTGCATTTCACATAATTGGGAGTCAGCCATTGCCTTTGCATATTGTATGAACCAAACCATCTGGGAGTTGAAGTCCACAAGTCTTAAAGTTGCCAAGTTTGGGGACCTCTGGTTTAAAGAAACTACTATGTCATTGGGGTGGGTTCATAAACTGGCAAACACAGAGTGTAACACAAATGTAACAAAATCCAAAACATAAATAAATGTCCTTTAATGCCTCCAACTTGGCCCCACTGTTCAATAATTCTCAATTGGAGATAAAACTTACTCAAATAGTCTTCAAAAGAAAGCAATATAGTCCGAACTTAATGAGCAGATAGAGGTAAAATAAAAACCAAAGAAACTACAATTAAGGAAATTTCCACAACTGAGCAGGATAAGTAATTACCAAATCCAAGGAGATAACTAGGCACAGTCTGTTGGAAGGACACCAACCAAGATAACTTCAGCCCAAAATAAAATACTTTACTTCTGGCAACTCTGTGTTTTAACTGCCTCTCTTATATACTATTCTCCCCAGCAGTGCTTTTACAATCTTCTCTAAGCAGTTTACAGAGTCAGCATATTGCCCCCAACAATGTGGGTCCTCATTTTACAGACCTTGGAATGATGGAAGTCTGAGTCAACCTTTTGGATTCAAGCTAACTATGGTTCAATTGATTTGGTCATCTTAAGTTATTGGAGCCCAGCATTCTGCCTCATTGACCTGGAGTGTTGTGTGAATCGGACACTCCATTTTATTGACCTTTAGTGAATTTGCTACTTTGGTCCATTATAGCCTTAAGGTTTCTTAAAATCTTTCTTATAGACCTGCAAGTCAAAAGGCAGGCTGTGGATTAGCTCATATCTTAACAAAGAGAGAGAGGCGAGATCAAACCTTTGGATTCCCAGCTGTATAAATAGCAATATCTGGGTGGCTTAAATGAATAACTTTATGTAATGGAACTACTGTGTTATTGTGTTTTGGATGTGAAAAGCCAGTTCCCACCTGCAAGACTCCGTGGCCAAGCAGAACAGCTTTTATTAATGTCCTGGCTATGCTGAAGCACTCATTTGCCTGGGGAATGTTCATTATCGGCAAAGCCTTCCCTCCCAGCAAATATCTCTATTGAAACATATGTGTGCTGTTCAAAAAAATGCCTTGATGTGCATTCATCGTGTACTTGGGTAGTCAGCAAGTACAAAATGTAGCATATGTAGCAACCTCCGCAGTCAGTCCTCACTCCGCACATCCGCATAGAGATAGCTGCTGTCTGTCTATTCAGAGTTTTCAGTGGGATCTGGAAAATTGAAACCTTGAATAGAATCATAAAAAGATTTGTTACTTATTTAGTAGGTTTTCCAGCGTGCAGAGGGATTTGTCACTGATACAGTACATGGGGGTGTAACAAAGCTTTCCTTTTGTGACTGGGTTGTTCTGTGCTTTTGAACGAAAGAATCCGTATTTAGGATAAAATTTGTGCTGATATGTATGAACAGGTTAGGGCCGGATTGTTAGAAATTTGTGTTTACAGCATGGACTAACATTTCCCCCCCTTCTTTGGAAGTGTCATAATTCATGGGAGAATTCTGTGAGTTGAAGTCCACCCACCCCAAAGTTGTCAAACTTGGAAAAAAATAATAATTTACTGGTAGTCCTCTATTTATGAGCCATGGTGGCATAGTGGCTAGGGTGCAGTACTGCAGGCTACTTCTGCTGCCTGCCAGCTGCCTGCAGTTTGACAGTTCAAAACTCACCAGGCTCAAGGTTGACTCAACTTTCCATCCTTCCGAGGTGAGTAAAATTAGGACCCAGATTGTTGGGGGCAAGAGGCTGACTCTGTAAACCGCTTAGAGAGGGCTATAAAGCACTGTAAAGCGGAATATAAGTCTTAAGTGCTATTGCTATTTATGATGGCAATTGGGACTGGAATTTTGGCCTTAAGTCAAGGCACCCATGTGACTGGGTCCGATTTGATAGTAGTTTTTAAGCAGATCACACCATCGTAAGTCTGAATCATGTTAAGCAAATCATGTGGTTGTAAGTCAAAATTTATTCTCCCAAATGAGTAAATTGTGATCATGGGTTGCTTCAACCAGTTTTAAATGTGAATTGTTGCCAAGCACCAAAATACGGCCATGTGCACATGAAAGCGGGGGTGGGGCGGATACAACATTCTACAGTGGCCAGAAGTGCTTTATGAGCCATAGTAAAGCACTCTGTCCGAGGCTGTCGTAAGTCTGGCCAATTGTTTTATTAACGTGTCATAAGTTGAGGTCTATTTGTAGTTCAACCCTTTGCAACACTAAAGCATTCAGGAGAAATGGTTTCCCCAGCCACCTTTTAAAGCCTTCGAGAGATGCAGAAATCGTTAACTCCATAGATAGATTTAGTTATTTTGTTGTGCCTTGCTTTGATTGTGGAGGTTCTCAGTCATCCAGGTCATAGTTGTCCCAACGGTGCTTTCAAAAATGCAACTGGACTTTGGGACCTTGGCTTTGATTGACGTCTAACCTAGCCTTAGTGAAGTAAATCCAATGCCAGCTATAGGCAATCGTACATCTTCTGCTTGGAAAACTTCACAGACAGAGCACCCTCTGTTTCAGAGCTGCATTCACACCTAGCTACAAGGTCACTTATATAGCTCAGGAGCAGTAGGCTGGGTGAACCCAACCATTGTAGATTATGATTAAAAGGTTAGTATTTTCTGTAAGCCCCATCTACCTGCATGGGAAATGTTGGAGGCATGGCAGTGACTCAACCCCACTAGGTATTAACTGGCCTCCCACCCCCACTCCAGCATTTGCCAATTCCATTAACCCTTTGTTTCCTGAGTTCCTTCATACCCCTCATCTCTCAGAATAACAGAGTTGGAAGGGACCTTGGAGGTCTTCTAGTCCAACCTCCTGTTTAAGCAGGAGACCCTATACTATTTCAGACAAAATGGTTGTTTAGTCTCTTCTTAAAATCCTGCGGTGTAGGAGCATCCGCAACTTCTGGAGGTAACTCATTCCACGGAGTTCCCACCGTCAGGAAATTTCTCAGTTCGAGGTTGATTCTCTCCTTGATTAGTTTCCACCTGTTTTTTTTTCATCTCCCGCCTCTGTTTCTGAAATCTGCTTGTTTCCAAGGTTCTGCTAAGGTAGAAGAAAGCGGAGAAAATCTACTACTTCATTTTGGTAGGGTGGGGAATGGGGTGTGTGGGTGTATTTGCAGAATTCCTTATTAGCAATTCTCCAAAATGGAGTCATTCAGAATCTCCCTGAAAACCCCCGGATTTATCAAGAGTCTTGCTTATTTGAAACTTTCACTTTATTTGTGACTTTCAATTGGTTTCTTCCTCTTTCCCTCAGGAGAGGCGGTTGTCCTGCAGACCAGTTTCAGTCATATTCTTAGTAAGTCCAATAGAGAGGGTTGGATCTGCCTAAATCCTCATTGGTTGTTTTTGTGTCCTGATATTTTCACATTTTTTAAACTTATTTTTGATGGGGAGTTGTAAAAGAGGGAATGGGATATGGGGCAAGCAAACCAAACTAGTGGAGCTCAAGCAGAGTTCTAAAAACCAGCTGATCCTAAGTCATGCTGCAGAGCCTCATTGGGTGATCTATGAGAACTTGATATGATAGAGAGTCAAAACAGATGAAACCCAGAATTGGCAATTCTGATGCTGGCTCTGTTTTGTGCTAACCCTATGTCCTCAAACTTGGGAACTTTAAGATGTTTGGACTTCCAACTCCAAACTAGGTGAGGAATTCTGGGAGTTGAAGTCCACACATCTTAAAGATGTCAAAAACACTGTGCTACTCGAAGAAGGATAGATAAGACTTGGACTGCATTGTTGAGGCTAGCTCTGATTGGATGCTACATCTGGTCTTATTTGCCTGTTTGAGTCCCAAGTCCATGATCAGGAAAGCTTGAAAGAAAGCCACATTTCTAGAGATGGATCTGAAGGCTGGCTGCCCCTATTCATTGATTCATTCTGTAGCCTTGAGCAAGAGGCTTCTTCTAATCCTTTTCCTGAATCATCTTCTTTTGATAGGGAGAACACCTCCTTCCATGTAGATCAGAGGCCTCCAAACTTGGCAATTTTAAGACTTGTGGACTTTTAAGAATTCCGGGAGTTCTGGGAGTCCACAAGTCTTAAAGATGCCAAGTTAAGGGGACCTTGATTAGTGTGTCTCCTCCCTCGAATGTCCTGATGTGCAAATGTGTTTAGCTAAACATTACAGGTAAAATTCTGGACTCCAAAAAAAGGAGGATTAATTTTCAAGGTCAGATTTCCGTTGTTAGAGGAGACATTACTGCATCATTGCTTGCAGGGTAGGCAACCTCAAAATGGAACTATGAAGATAATCAAAGGTCATGTAAGCTTGTGTACTGGGATTACTGATCATGCCAAACCATGGATCATTTAATGATGGCTTGCTGATTATTGTAAGCCACAAACCATGGCTTACCAATGATAATGCCTGGAATCACACAGCATGCTACATCAAGAGCAAACAGCCTGCAAACAAAACCATGAGGTTTTGGAAGTGATTGCACATCACAGATGTTCCCCTTCTTGCTTGCATAAGCCTATTGTTTGACAAGGTGATTGACACATATCCTGTTCTGACCGTTGCCATTATTAGAACAGAGGCAGGAGATGACCAAATGTGAATGGAGTTATTTTCTTTCCAGCTAGTCCCTAGGTTGATAAGTGAATGAAGAAGCAGTAAGAAATTTTGAGAAAAACTCATTGAAGAATTCTGGTATTCTGGTTTTTATGTTGATAAGAGAAGATCAACAATTGTGTTTGAATGGCTTGATATACAATCTCCAGCTTCTTTGGATATCCACTCTTCCATTTCTCTTACATATTTCTGTCTCCATCTCTCTCTGTATGTCTCTCTGTCTCTCTCTCTGTGTCTCTCTCTGTCTCTAATAACTCTTCTAGTTTGGGGTTCTTAGAAGTTTGGTTTGAGATGCCAATAGTATAGAGGTGAGGTTTGGACCAGCCCAAATCTCACAATGCATAGCTTGCACAGTTTTAGTGTCATGCCCCTGTTGGAGACTGACTCTGAGGGAGAGGAGGAACAGCCCACAGGGAATGGAAGTGTGGCTCCGGAGGTTGTGGAGGAAGCTGGGGAAGGGCACAGGCCTTCGGCTGGGCAGTCAGAGGAGGACCCAGGCCCATCCCTTCTCCATCCGAGGGCACGCAGGGAGGAGAGGATGAGGGAGAAACGTGAATGGTGTGGTCTACGAGGGAGGAAAAGGCCTTGATCCCCTTCATGGGCTGCAGCTGTGAGAACTGGTTAAAAGGACAGACTGCACATGAACCAGCGCTGGAAACAAAGCGTGAAAATATTTCTAGTCTGTCGGTTCTTATCTGAGTTTGGCGTTCTTCCCAGTATGTATTCCAGTATCTGTGGACATCTTCAAGCCCTTATCTTGCCTAGTTCTCTTAATTGCTTCAGGTGGTTTGTGTTGTTTTTACTCTTTATAATTTATAGGCATTTTTAATTTAAACGGTATGTCCTCTTTTTTTGCAACTGTTTGTGGGGGAGTTTTTTTTATCTCCAGTCAAGGATATTTGGAGTTTTGAAGCCAAGTTGAAAGAATTAAAGGGACTTCACCTGTTTTTGTGACTGTGTTGCTTTTGTATCCCACCCTGGGTCATCCCATTTGGTTTTTTTCTGTGTGTTGACCATATCTGGACATAACCTCAGAAGTGTGAAAGGCATTTTGGCCTCGATCAGCATGTGGCCTGATCCTAACACTTCTCTCCTCATCCTGTCATGGAAACCCTCCCCAATATCAGCTGAACCACAGGTCTTCCCAGTCAAGAACTGGTGAAATGAGATTTCCAGGAAGGCCCCGCTCTCTTTCTCTGGTCCTCAAGCTGACCCTCAGTTACCAGCTGCTGTATATTCCCTCTGAGGACGCTGGGCTGTTTTCAGCCCCATCCCTGTTCTCCCCCTGCCTTGCCCGCCCCCGTCTCTTGCTCCGCTTCCTCCTTGTAGTTGCAGTGAATTGGACCGGAATCTGGTGGCTTCCTGTCTCCATCCTGTTTCCCACCAACAAACGCCCTTCACTCTCCTGCACACTTCCTCCCTGCCTTGTGCCTTACTCAGACCCTCGGCTACTCTTCAGACCTTGCTGCCGCTGCGTTGCCCTTCCGTTTTTCAGGGACGCTTTGCAAGTCTCTCCCTTCTGCACAGTTCAGGTTCTAAGATTCGACGCAAACACGACTTCATAGGCAAGCGCGCGTTTTGATCAAGGAGAGATTCAGTGTAGACATAAGGAGAAATTATCTGACCGTGAGAGCAATCAACCAATGGGACAGAAGTTGCCTTCAGAAGTTGTGGGAGCTTCATCACTGGAGGCTTTCAAGAAGAGACTGGACTGCCATCCAGGGGTGGGTTTCTACCGGTTCTGTCCACCTCTGTCAAACCGGTAGCTCTGAAGAGCAGCAGACATAGAACCAGTTCTATGTCTGCTGATGTTTTTGCTCACCTACCCACCCGGGCTCTTACCTGATCTTTATTTCCTAATTTTTCAACTTCAGCTGCCGTGCGAGGCACAGCTGCAGTTAAAAAAGCAGGAAAAAAGGGCTTTTTGAAAGGCTGCTTCTCTGCATGCAGTGTGCTGATGACGATTTACAGGCGCACACCGGCAGCATGCGGGGAAGCACATCGTAAATCACCAAACCTCGTAAATGACCGAACTGGTAGTTAACCCTATCAGACCCCACCCCTGCTGCCATATGTCAGAAAGGGTGTTGGGCCGTGTTGGCGAATCTATGACACATGTGCCACAGGTCGCATACAACACCCTCTCTGTAGGCACGTGAGCCTTTGCCCTAGTTCAGCTCCATCACACATATGCGCGCACCTCCCACTAGCTAGCTGGTCATTGGGTCTTTGCTGCGTATGTGCGGTGGGCAGGGTGCGTATGGGGGGGGCTGCACGCATATGCATGACGGGGTAGGGTGCATGTGTGGAAGCTGAGGCACCTGCACACGGCCACACATGCATGCACAAGACACATGCATGGGGTCACATGCGCATGCACGGGTGGGGCGCATTGCATTTTGGGGGTTTGCGCATGCACACACATGCATGCACTTTAGACACTCGGTCTGGAAAAGGTTAGCCATCACTGGTGTGGAGTCTCCTGCTTGGGTGGGGCGTTGGACTAGATGACCTACAAGGTCCCTTCCAACTCCTGTTAATCTGTAATCAAATCAATGTTTTGAATGGTGCTGGAATTAGGAGCAGAGACTCCTTTATCATGGATTACTTTAAGAGGGGGCGTGTGCATCTCTTACCAATGTAGAATAGCAGAGTTGGAAGGGACCTTGGAGGTCTTCTAGTCCAACCCCCTGCTTAGGCAGGAAACCCTATACCATTCCAGACAAATGTTATCCAACATCTTCTTAAAAACTTCCAGTGTTGAAGCATTTACAACTTCTGGAAGGAAGTTGTTCCACTGATTAATTGTTCTAATTTTTCCATCATCCTTTGCATAATACAGGTAGTCCTCGATGTACAACCATTTGTTTGGTGACTGTTTGAGGTTACAGCGGCCCTGGAAAAAGTGACTTACGACTGGTTTTCACATTTACGGTACATGCAGCATAGTTAGTC